GAAGTGAGATTTAGCCAACAGGTTGCTGATTGATTGGTGGAGTTATGATTAGCTGTGAATGTAAAGGCCATCAGCTTGACAAAACTATCTCATTGGCTCCTGGGTAGATGAGCAGCCTGTGGATGTGCAGGATACTAGCTGAAAGTGCAAGAGTAGACAGTGTGACTTCCTCTTTGGAAAAAATTCCTGAAGCTTGATGAAAGCCAGTTTGTTTTCCCTCACCAGTGGCTGTGGCCTCTAACCAATAACTAAGAAATTTTGTAGTCATTGTACCAATTAGCTGTGCCTTTCATAAAGAAGTGAAAGGAAGAAAGAGATTGAAGAACAGAAAATCCTGCTGCCAAAAGGATCAACTCAGTGAACTCTGTAGACTAGAGCCTTTGAACTACTGCTGCACCATTTTCTCTCCATCCAAAAGAACAATGTTGTTTTGTAAGTCTGTGTCTGTCTGTATGTATGTATGAGAGGTTTCAGAAGGGGGTTAACTAGTGGACTTTTTTGTCGCTTGTTCATAGTTGTTTACCTATAGTTAGAATTCGTATATTTGTAATAAATGGAGTTCTTGTGAAGTATGGAGACCTGGTTTGTGTCAGTCTGGGTGTATCCAATTGGTAAATTGAGGACTTTGCACACTTAGATGAATTTTTAACTTTTGTTACCACTCGAGGATTGATAGGACCTGATTTCTAGTGAGCTATCCCAGTGAGGCAATACAAAGTTTGGGGTTGTGGCTGGCTAATTTGAAACAGGAGACAATGAAGATTTGGGTAAAGTAGCGTAAATAACACAGATGAAGAAAAATACAAAGTTCTGTACTGCATTTCCTACAGGTGGCAGAATTGGCCTTCATAACCTTAAATGAACTTTCAAAACCCAGAACAATTGATGTAGCAGGTAAACTAGAGGTAGCATTGCTTCACAGAGCTAACAAGACAGAAATAATTGAGGTATGAGCACAGCCAATGAGTTTAGTAGAGATACAAGAAAGATGAGATCCCTCAGTGTCACGTTGGGAGTCAGGTAATGTTGAGTTATTTAAAGCAATTTGAGGAAAAAATGAAGAAGTTAGAGATGGCAGGAACAAAAGCAAAGAAAAAGCAGCAAAGGTAAGGAAAGGGAGATGGAATTAAAAATATGCGAAGTGGAAAAGAGAAAACTAAAAATAGAACTGCAAAGAGAAAAGAAAATAAAGTAACATGAAAATAGGTTTAAAATAATGCATTTGAAATGGGAGATGTCAGATATTGGTGTAGCCTCTGGTGGGGAAAATCTGAATTATAATTTAAAGTCCAGTGAAAAAATGTCTAAAGTTTGTATAGGCTAAAGCAAAATTTGATGTAAAGGATGTGGGGGCATTTTCATGTCATTTGAGAAAATAGGAAGACAAATGAATTGGGCAAAAGAAGACTGGACACTGCCAATGCAGAGCGAGTTGATAGGTAAAGCACAGGAAATGTATGCTTCACCAACAGAGGATGTTTTCAGTATGATAATTCCAATAAAACAAAACATATTAGTTGCACACGAGTTAGTGCCTGTTAGAGCATTAGAAGTTGAAACCACAATTGAATCTCTGAGAGGGATTATTCGACTCATAGACTCCTGCAGCACAAAGACAGACCATTTGGCCCAAACAGGTCCATGCCAACCAAAATGTCCATCCATGCTAGACCCGGTTCCCTGCACTTGGCCCATATCCTTCTAAACCTTTCCTATCCACGTATTTGTCCAAATGCCTTTTAAATATTGTTAATGTACCCGCCTCAACCACTTATGCTGGCAGCTCATTCCATATGCATACCACCTTCTGTGTAAAAAAGTTGCCTCTCAGGTCACCATGTATTCTTTCCCCTCTTACCTTAAACCGATGCCCTCTAGTCCTTGATTCCCCAACCCTGGGAAAAGACTGAGTGCATTCATCCTATCAATGCCCCTCATGATCTTATACACTTCTATAAAATGTCCCCTCAGTCTCCTAAACTCTAAAGAAAAAAGTCCTAGCCTGTCAAACCTCTCCCTATAACTCAGTCCTCTGAGTCCTGGCAACATTCTTGTAAATTTCTTCTGCACTCTTTCTGGTTTAATAACATCCTTCCTACAGCAAGGTGACCAAAACTGAACACGTTACTCCAAGTGCTGCCTCATCAACGTCCTGTACAACTACAATATAACTTCCCAACTTCTGTACTCAATGCCCTGACTGATGAAGGCCAGTGTGCCAAAAGCCTTCTTCACTGCCCTGTCCAACTGTGACTCCACTTTCAGAGAACTATGCACCTGAACTCTAAGATCCCTCTGCTCCATTACACTCCTTAAGGCCCTATCATTCATCACAAAACTCCTACCTGGATTTGACTTTCTAAAATGCAACACCTCACATTTATCTATATTAAACTCTATTTGCCATTTCTTGGCCCACTTTCCCAGCTGATCAAGACCTGCTCCAATTTCTGATAAAAAGATGTAGA